AATCTTGAAGTTAAACAGCCCCTGGGTTTACTCACAGCTTCGAGGGATGCATTCATCTCTGGGACCAGGTAGTATCAAGATGGATATATTCATATATGAGTGTATGGTATTCCCTCCCAGGAATGTTTGTTCATATATATTTCCATGTTACTATTGCTGTTGATAAGTATCACAGAGTCAATTCTGACTCACAGTGACCCTATATAGGGTTTCTGAGGATCAAGTGGTGGGCTTGAACCACTGACCTTACAGTTCAAACTGACCTTGCAATCTAGTGAATTATCCTGCAGCACCACATAAGGAGTCCACTTAGGTGCCTACTCATAGTAAGTGTATGTCCAGTAGAAGAAAATACTCTCTGGTCCTGGGCCATCCTCACAACTGTTGCTACTTTTGAGCTCGTTGTTACAACCACTGAATCAATCTGTCTCACAAAGGGTCTTCCTCTTTTTCTATGACCCTCTACTTTTCCAATCATGATGTCCTTCTCCAAGGACAGATTCTTCTTATAATGTAATCACTGATAAATTTAGGGCTAAATTTATCCTCTCACTTTTTTTTCTATTTGTTATTCTTTTTCCTCTCTTTCTTGCCTTATTTTGGTTTAATCAAACATGTTTTGTTAGTCTGTTTTTCTCCTGTGTATCTTGTTTTTATAGTTTGACTACTCTGATGGTGTTTACCTTAGAGAATCTAACATCTGTTCTTGATATAAGCAGTCTGTCAGCAGTATAAACATTTCTTAGACAATGAAAGAAGTTGGAACATTTAAAATCCATTTAGCGATTACCCTCCACCTTTTGAGCTGCTGTTGTCATGTAGTTTAACTCTAAACGCATCTTAAATTTTATATGGCACAACAGACGTATCTAGAGGTAAATTTTTGTGTAAGTATACAGAAACATGTACATTAAAATGCTAAAAAATATATATCAGACAGACAGTAACTGAAAGAATATTACATGGTGTAAATGGTGATATTAATATCAGACAAATTAGGCAATAATACATGGTTTGATTTATTGACTGCAGCTTCTATGAGTGTTGATGGTTGATCCAAAAAGAATGAAGTCCTTGACAACTTCAATCTTCTCCACTGATTAGAATGTTGTTTATCGGTCCAGTGGTGAGGATTTTTGTTTTCTTTACATCGAGATGCAACCCATACTGAAGGCTGTGCTCTTTGATCTTCATCAGTAAGTATTTTAAGTCCTCTTCACTTTCAACAACAAGGTTGTATCATCTGCATATCGCAGGTTGTTAATGAGATTTCCTCCAATCCATGTTTTTCTTCATATAACCCAGCTTCTTGGATTATTTGCTCAGCATACAGGTTGAATAAGTATGGTGAAAGAATACAACCTTATCTCACACCTTTCTTAATTTTAAACCATTCAGTGTTCCCGTATTCTGTTCTAACAATTGCCTCTTGGTCTATATACAGGTTCCTCATAAGCCCAATTAAGTGCTCCAGAATACTCATTTTCCACAATGTTGTCCATAGTTTATAATGATCCACACAATCGAAAGCCTTGTGTAGTCATACAGGTAATCTTCTTCCTGGTATTCTCTGCTTTCAGCAAAGATCCATCTGATATCAGTAATGAAATCCTTCAGTCCTCTTCTGAATCCAGCTTGAACGTCTGGAAGTTCTCTCTCAGTGTATGGTTGCAGCCATTTTTGTTTTATCCTTAGCAAAATTTTACTTGCATGAGATATTAATGATATTGTCCAATGATTTCCACATTCTGTTGGGTCACTTCTCTTTGGAATGGGCACAAATATGGATCTTTTCCAGTCAATTGGCCATGTAGTTTTCTTCTAGATTTCTTGGCATACATGAGTGAATTCCTCCAGGGCTGCATCAGTTTGTTGAAGATTTTTATTTGTATTCCATCAATTCCTGGAGCCTTGTTCTTTGTCAGTGCCTTCAGTGAACTTAGATCTTCTTCCTTCAATACCATTGACTCTTGGTCATATGCTACCTCTTGAAATGGTTGAAAATTGTCCATTTATTTTTGGTACAGTGACTCTGTATATTCCTTCCATCTTCTTTTGTTGCATCATTCAATATTCTGCTGTAAAATGAGCCCCTCAGATTGGATGGCACACAAAATGCAATGGGGAAAGAGTTGTCTCCTCAAAGTAGAATTGCATAGGGTTGCTATGAGTCGGTACCGACTCAATAGCACCTAACAACAACAGCAACAGAGTTAGAAAACCAAAAGGGAAGAACACATTCAGTATTTCTCAACCTGAAAGAACTGAAGAAAAAATGCAAGCCTAAATTTGTAATATACACAATAGACATCAGCCAACACTAGTCAACCAATGAACAGAACACCATGCACACATTCCACTCTCTAATCACACTCACCAGGAGACAGTGGTGAGAGGTCAACGTACACTTATCAGTTAAATACAAATATAACACCACCCAATGCCTAATGGACAACAAAACATTTTAACTCACACGAACAAACAAGAGAGAGGGCTGCAAATAAATGACCAAGATGCAGAGTCAGAAATTTTTTCTGAAGAAGAAAAGGTAATGGAACTACTTGAGAAAGAATTCAAAAAATCAATATTTAGTTGCCTTCAATAGATTGACAGAAAGATTGAGGAAAGCAAGAATGAAGAAAAAGTCTTTACAAATATTTAGAAAAACACTACAAGAACAAATAGACAATAACCAGATTAATTAATCAATTAATACTAAAGGGAGAAATAGACAAATCCAAAATCATAGCGGGCAGTTTTAGCACCCCTCTCTCAGAAAGACACAAGAAAAAACATGAACAACAAATGTGGCCCGATTTCATCTATGGAGCATCTGCGGGGTAAACACAGAATGAACATTCTACAGATGTGCAAATGGATCGTTTACCAGAGGAATCTGAATGCTGGGCTATGGAGTCAGTCTCTACAAATGCCAGAGCATCTAAATCATATGGAGTACGGACTTTGACCACAGTGGAGCTGAGCTAGGAAACAAAATATTTTAAATGTCCAATTTTTAGTTGTCTAACAGGAAGGACAGGGAGTCAGTTCAGTCTCTATTGCTCCATCTTGGTTTGATCAGTCTGTAAGTGCAGTGTTTGCATGTGAATGTGTGTGTGAGAGTTATGTGAGTGTGTGTGAGTATGTGTATGGATGGACATATGTCAGTGTATATATGTGTGTGTATACAAGTGTGAGTATGTGAATGTTATTGTATGAGTGTATGTGTGAAAGAACATGTGTGGGAGCATGTGTGTGTGTTGTGTGAAAGGATGAGTGTGTGTGTGTGTATGACTATGTGTGTGCAGCAATATGAGTATATGTGTGGGAGCATGTGTTGGAGTGTGTTGTTATGTGAGAGTGTGAGTGTGTGTGTATGTGTGTGGGCATGACCATGTGTGCATGCATCAATATGAGTATATGTGTGGGAGTGTGTTATTAAGTGAGAGTGTATTGTGTACGTGCATAGGAGTGTGAGTGTGTGTGTGGATGTGAGTTTGTGAGAGCGAATTATGTGTTAATGCACATGTGTGGGTGGTATACATTGTATGAGTGTGCATGTGGGGCGGGTTGTGTGTAAGTGTGTGTGCACATGTGTGTGACTGTGTGGAGAGTAGCTTATGTGAATGCATTGGAGGATGAGTGTGTGTATGTGTACACGTGCGTACATGTAGGTGTGATTCTATAGTGTGCATGTATGCATGTGTGAATATGTATGTGTGAATTTGAGAGTGCATATGCATGCTCAAGTGTGTGCAGGTGTTAGTGTGTGTGCTATGCTTGTGTGTGTAAGTACAGGAGTGTATGCGCATGAGGAGTGTGTATATTTTGTGTGCATGGGTGTATGTGTTTGAGTGTGTACTGTGCATTCATGTTTGTGTGAGTGTGCATGTGTGAACTTCTGGGTTTATGTGCATGCTTAGAAGTGTGCATGTGTCTGTGTATTGTGCATGTGCAAGTGTGTGAGTGGGGAGAACTGTGGAATGAATGGTGTGTATGTTTGGTGAGTGTCTGTAGGTGCAAGTGTGTTGTGTGAATATTTCTCTCAGCATGTATGTGTGAGTGGGAAACTAGTTTGTGGTAGAATGTGTGAGTGTGCATGTGTGTGAACATATGTTGTGTGTATATGTGAGTGCATGTCTGTGAGTGTATGTGTATAAGTATGTTGTGTGTGTGTTTGGGAATATATTGTTAGCATGCTAGCATGTGTGTGAGTGTGGGGAATTTTTTTGTGGGGAGTATGTGTATGTGTTATGCACATATGTGGTTGTGTTTTGTGTCCATGCGTGAGTGCACATGAGTGTGTGTGAATGCATGTTTGTCAGTGTATGTGAGAATGTGTACAAGTGTGTTGCGTGTGCATGTGTGTCGTGTGTATGCATGAGTGTGTATGCGTGCATGTCTGAGTGTATGTGTGCGTGTATGTGTGGGACTCAACAGTCACAGAGACAATCCCATCACCCTAAAGTTCTGGGACCTTCTTCCCCATCCTGCAGGGCCACCCAGCTCCTCCACTGTCCTCCCACTGGCCTGATTGCTGGTGGCCAACAAGGTGCCCTCCTTACTTGGCTCCTCAGAAAATTCCTGTATCATCATCTCTTGAACTTCCTGAGGGATGGAGCAGGTGTGGTCTTGCTGGAAAGGCCCTCTCCCACAAAGCAGGGCTCTCAGGAGTCTGCAGATGGACAGTCCTGTTCAGAAAAGGGAAAGGATCCTCTTCTGTAAGTAAGGGGAGTGTGGGGTGTCCCTGAGGACCTCTGACAAGGAAAAATGAGGAAAGCCCTTCTAACTCCTCTCCCAGACTCTACCACCCAGCTGAATGCTGATTTTCTTCACAGAAAAGCAAACCGGAGCCAAAGGAATGGTGGTGACCTGCGACGGGTGGCTGGGTGACTGGCAACAGAGCCTGCTGGCAGCCTGCCTGCTTCCTCGCGGTACGTATAAGGAGTGTGCTGGGCGTAGCAGCCCTGTTCGTCTGAGGCCACGTTCCGCTCTTCGCCATGCCTGCTCACCTGCTCCTGTCCGGGGCTGGCCTGCTCCTCGTCCTTTGCTTGCAGCTGATGACCAACAACGCCCAGGAAGACACGTGAGCCATTCCTTCCCCTCCTCACAGAACACTCAGGGCGCACCTACCTGCCTGCACACCCACCAGAACCCATCCCACCTTCCTGAGCTCTGGTCCCAGAAACTCTGTGCGACCATTGTCACCCCTCTCCTCTTAGGACTCCATCATGCTCCCCACATCTCCACGGGGGCTTCTAGGTTGTTGGTGGGAATGAGGCCCAGTGTGCATCCAGGCTGTAGCCCTGAGACAGCCCTGCTCTGTGTCTGGAACCTGCTCCTTTGTATAAATTTCTGCTCTGTAAACGCTCCCTTCTCACACTGCCTCCTAGAAGACAGGGTTTGGCAGATCAGTGAGTTCCAACACCAGCCATGGCAGCCCTGTTGGGACTCACAGGGGGAACTAGGGCCCACCAGTATTTACCCATGTCTCTCTTGTCCTGAAGCCTGAAGATATGTTTGAGGACCACTTGCCCCAACCATGTGGGGACCCAGGGGCATAAGACAGTTGTGTAGAGGAGGCACAGACATTGAGGCCAGAAAAATGAGGAAGGAGTTGGAGCCAAGGATCTGGGGAACAGCGGCAGTCAGGAAGCTGGAGGAGTTTTATCTACAGGAGCGAGGTTTCAGGTGTGGGTTTCTGGGTGGATGCTGGCAGTGCCCCTGGAAAAAAACTCTGTGGGACTTTGACCATTTGGTGAGATGGTGGCAGATGTCTCAGGCAGTTCAGGTACAAGTCCCTCTGTTTTGCCTCAGTTAAGCTTCACTAATGAGGGTGACTCAACTATTGCTCTGGCCATTCTTGGGGTTATCAGTGAAAACCTCTCCTCCAAGACATCATTCAACTCCCAGTCTCCCCAGCTGGTCATCCTCTGAGACCTTCATTGTGCCACCAAAGGGAAGAATTTGAAGACACTCGGATCTCCAATCATTGTCACAGAGCAGCTGGCAGGAGAAGTGGAATCTCCTGGGGCCTTGGAGGTGATGCCCTCGGCACATGTGACTAGGAAGTCTTGTGACTGAAGGAACCCGACAGGGGCTCTTCCAGGAGTTTCAGGAACAAGACAGGAATGCTCCTGTCTGGACCCCAGGCCTCCTACAGAAGAGGCACCCCTGACCACAGTCTCTGTCTTCACCTGTTCTCTTTTAATGGAGTGGTGGGTACTTAGAATGAGGGGGCATCTTCCAGAAACTTTTCAAACCCAGCCATGCCCAAATCTCCTCTAAACAAACAAAAAACTGTCAGCAAGTCAGTTCTGATTCATTGTGACTCTGTATCGGGTTTTACAGAGTGTAACAGACAGCCGCACCTTTCTCTCATGGAGCAGCTGGCAGGTTGGAACCACCGGCCAGTCCAGTGCTTATCTTACAGCATCACCCAGTCCGCTCCAGTGCTAAACAAACAGGCATCCCTAGGCCCACTCAGACACCAGAGAGGGACGCCCACCGAAGCCGCTTCTTCACTGTCCCCCCCGGGAACTGTTTGCTGCTGTGATCACTCCCCTGGTGATAGAACTTTGACACAAGCCCTCTCCCCAGCAAACACCCAGCTTTACTAGGAAGTCACATGCCACCTTGTCCTTTCATTCTTTCTTGTTTTCCTTTTTTGAAAAGATCATGTTCAGTTTTAAATAAAACTGCCCTCCCTGCTTTAGTAAACAAAACTAACCATTCACAAAATGACCAAATGGACTCACAGACATTCCCGGGGGGCTCTAACACTGAGCATGGGTGCAATCCCACCCGTGTCCCCTGCACCTTCCTGCCTCTCCGCCCTCACGCGGTGGTGCCCTCCTCTCTCCTTAGGAACTGGAAAGTGTTGACGATGGATCTGCAGATGCAGTCTACCGCACAGGCCGGTGAGGAGGTGCCTGTGACGCTCAGAATTCACACGGAAATAAGAGAATGCATGGTGGTAAGTGTGGCCCAGGTGGAGCAAACAGCTACTACTGAAAGGGTGGAAGAAAGGCCTGGTGCTTTCCTTCTGAAAATCAGCCACCGGAGACTCTGTGGGGCACAGCTCTACTCTGACACCTTTGAGATGGCCCTTCAGTGGTAACCCTACAGCAATAGTATGGTGGTAAATAAAGGCCTGGAGCAGTGGACATGGGGAAGGTGGGACTTCCGCATCAGAATCACTGAATCTCCCACTTTATTTTTGTTGTTGTTTGTTGTGAAGTACCGTCAAGTAGGTTCTGACCCACAGTGATTCTGTATAGGGTTCCTGAGTTGCAGCTGCTGAGCTTGAAGCACTAACCTGTGGTCCGGTGCCTTAATCCTACAGCACCACACCAGAACCAAGGTTCTGTTATTGTTGTTAAGTGTCGTTGGGTTGGTTCTGACTTATAGCGACCCTTTATAGGTTTCCAAAGAGCAGCTGGTGTGTTTGAACTTTCAAACTAGTGATTCAAAGTCCAGTGCTGTTCCTACAGCACCGCTCCAGGAGTCCGAGGGGCTGGAACTAGCAAAGGCAGAGCAAAGAGGGGAAGAGCCAAGAGCTGTGGTGAGCTGGCCAGAGTCCCTCCAGGATCCTGAACAAGACGGACTCGGGATGGGCGTGGGAAGGGGCTCACAGAGCTCCCTTTGAGCAGAGTGAGGCAGGTGGCCAGGAGAAGCAATCTCAGAGATATGCAGAGTCTGGCCCCTCCTCTGCTCCTTCTCTTCCCGGCCTTCCCCCCCCCCCCCAACCCAGGTCTGCAGTTGCCTGAGGATGGGGGCGGGTCCACACTCTGATCTAAAATGCAGTTTCCCAAAGGTTAACCTGCTTGAGGTTCATCTGGGGATCTTGTTAAAGTGCTGTGACACTTCAGGTTACTGAGCTGGACAGCAAAGCTCACCAGTGGCTACTCAGAAACCCTGCACAGGGTCGCTATGAGTCAGAACCGACTGGACAGGCCACCACCACCACTCATTATAATAAGGGGCCCTGGTAGTGAGTGTAGTGGATTACAAGCTGGACTGCTAACCACAAGGTCACTACCTGCCCCTCAGTGGGAGAAAGATGAGACTTTCTACTGCCGTAAAGATTTACAGCCTTGGAAACCCTATACAGGGTCGCTATGAGTCAGAATGACTCGGTGGCACTCAGCCATCCCCATTCATTATAATGCTTCCTATTCATTATAAACTGACTCATCTGTCCGTTTGTCGTACTGTTTGTGGCCTGTGTGCTGCTGTGATGCTGGAAGCGATGTCGCGGATATTTCAAGTATCAACAGGGTAACACTTGGTGGACAGGCTTCAATAGAATTTCCAGACTAAACAGACTAGGAAAGACAGCGTGGTGGTCACTGCTTTAAAAAAGGTCCGGTGAAATTCTTATGAATAACAGTGGAACATCGTTTGATATAGAGCCAGAAGCTAAGTCCCTCAGGTTGGAAGTCACTCAAAATGCACACCGGCCTCAACAACAGGCTAAAGCACCAATTCTGAGGCTGGCAGGGAACCAGGCAGTGTTCTATTCTGCTGTGCTTAGTTAGGGTCACTATGAGTGAGAATGGAACAGTCACACCTAACAACATGTCTTATACTGACTTTTTGATAATGTAAAGTTTTAGGATTACAGTTACAAAATTAAAACAGATTATAGCTCAAATGGTGTATTTGAACACATAGATCCTTCTAAGCTGAGGAAAAGTTTCTGAGAGCTCACCATGGCAACACTCAAAGGTCATCTTGCTGGACTCATGAAGGCTATGAAAACTTCATCAGAAAATTGATTTTAATTTCATTATTAAAAAACAAAGGAAAACTGCAAGCTTGAATAACAGGGATCAAAGTCTTACAAATAAGTACGTGGTAGATGGACATATAGGAGTTTCTACAGAAGTTTCTACAGAAGCATTTACTGAGCAGGAAACTACAAGTAAGTTAAAGTGCACCTTAGGGAGACAGCTGCGGAGGACAGCGTTGATTCCCTGGAGGAAGTCCATTAAATTCATTTTAGAGAACACATCGTGCATGTCCCATGTGAATTTTGTTCATTTGTTTGAATTATATGAGGGGGAGCTCCAAAATGGTTGTGGGCAAATGAGATGGAAAGATCATGGGATTTTCCCATAAACCTTTTGAACTCCCCTCGTATGTGTGTTGAAATTCAAGATTCATGAAGACATACCAGTTTGTTGCAAATGTAGTGAAAAGATAAACAAGACAAGAATTGGCCTCTCTCAAGAAACACCAAAATTCTGCACAGCATTTGAATCGCATTCCAGTTGTGAGATTACTTGAATTCTTGATTGAGTGGTCTGTTCCCCGAGCGAACTCCACATGACAGGTAGTTCAGGTAGACAGCCTCGCCGGGTACCACTAGCTCTGATAACTACCCATCTTGTAGGTTGTGGTGAGGGCAGGCAGCATCTATGATGTGATGGAAGATCAACTTCTTCTCCTGGGGACATCCCACAGGCTGCCACAGCTACTGTGGTTTGTTGCTGACAGTCCTGATGGAAGAAATTCTCAATCAAGAGAGATAAGTGAAGTAAAGATGAAAATTTTTGTCCGAGCTCACTGACTCTTGCCGATTCTCTCTCGGTGTTTGGACCTCAGGATAAAACACCTGTGCTGACCCCAGACCAAAGCTCCCAGACCTCACCGGAAGTCTGCAGGTGACAGGTTGCTATCTTCAGTCACAATGAACTCTCAAGCTAAAAAGAAAAATAACCCCATTCAACTTCCCACCAGTTTATTAGCCTGGTTGAGCAGATCATTGTTGCATCTCAGACACATGACATTTGTCACCAAAGGTTGTAGTTAGAGAGGCCCCCTGGGACTGGGTCACAGTTCTGACAACAGGTCTTTGCTTGTGCACTCAAGTGAACAGGTCTCACTCATTCAGAACAAAAGTCAGTGTGAGTCCATTCCTGCTGGGCAACTCAAGCAGGCTGCTCCCCAGATGGACAGATGAATGGATGGTCATCCCTGGATGAGATCTTCTGCCCAGGGACTCATTTCCATCTTCTCATCTCCTTGCTGAGATGATACAGAAACAGCAGGTTCTTTCCACCTCTAAAGACCTCTACATCATCCTTTTCCTCCTCTTCCTCCTCCCCTCCACCTCTTCTTCATCTTACTCCTTTGTCTCCTCCTTTCTGCTCTATCCTCCCCAGGAATCCCACTCCCCAGGTTAACACTGGGTTCTCCCCGCACCCTCTCTTCACCAGATCAAAGCATACCTCAGAAGCAGCATTCCCCTGGAAGGGCCTTCTCACAGTTACACATTCACTGCCTGCCTGTGTAACGATTATCCAAGGACCTTCTTTTGGGACATTGTGAGCAACTGTAAGTGCAGAGTCTTCCAAGGTGGGGGGGGCTTCCAAGTGACGGGGAGACAGCCACAAAGACCCACTTGCACAGATATGCAGGAGCCACGGGAAGTGGAGGGGGAGGAGGGAAGGAGAAACCCTGATGTGTGGGTGGGGATCACGCTCTGATTCCAAGAGTATGAGAAGATGGAATCATGGAGACACCTTTGGGGAAACGGACCCCAGTGACTGGCAGCCGTATAAGACAAGAGGCTGGGGGGGTGGAGTCTTTCCAGAAACGATCTGTGTTCATGTCTCTTTCAGACACTGTGACAGTCGTACCAATAGTTGATGTTGTTCGAGAGCTAAACATCTGCCCTGAAGATAGGGCAGTAATGCCCATCAAAGCAAACCGTTTTTACACGTCCGCTACCCTTTTTATAACACAATAAGGGAAAGCTTGACTCTGTGCCCCCTGCCCATTGGGTACCCCTAAGCACATGAGGTGCAGGAGGAGGATCTGTGAAATAAACTTCTTCAAGCATCCTTGTGTTCTGTCTGTGTTCTCCATGCAAAATCCTAACAACGGTTGTCAGGATGGTCCAAGAGCAGACCAGGTGTCATTGTGTAGTGCATAAGGTATTGATTGAGAGAGAGAGGACAGGGAGTGTGTCCTGATGTGGCGCTATAGAATAAGCACTGGACTGCTAACCTCAAGGTCGGTGGTTCAAGCCCACCAATCACTCTTTGGAAACTCTATGCAGGGGCGCTATGAGTCAGATCTGACTTAAAGCATGTAACAATAACTACATACAAGTCGCTACTTGATGCTGATTCTACAATGCCACACCAGGATTAGATATATATATGTTGTTGTTATGTGCCGATGATTCAGTTCTGACCCATAGCAACCCTGTAGAGGGTTTCCAAGGAGTAGCTGGTGAATTTGAACCTCCAATCTTATGATTCAAACAGACCTTGAGGTTGAGCGCTTATCCTACAGCGCCACAACACACACATGTTGCTGTTGATAGGTGCTGTCGCGTTGGTTCCTACACATAGCTACCCTGTATAGGGTTTCCGAGGAGTGGCTAGTGAGCTTGAACCTCCAACCTTGAGTATCAAACCAACTTAGTAGTCCAGCACATTAAGCTGCTCCTTGGAAACCCTATACAGGGTTGCTATGAGTTGGAACTGACTCCATGGCACTTAACAAAAACATATATAGGTACATCTGGTAGCGTAGTGGTTACGAATTGGGCTGCTAACCTTAAGGTCAGCAGTTTGAAACTACCAGCAGTTCCATGGGAGAAAGTTGAGGCAGTTCTGCTCCCGTAAAGATTTACAGCCTCGGAAACCTTGTGCAGGGTCGCTATGAGTCGGAACTGACTCCACGGTACTTAACAACAACAATGACATGTATATATCTGATAGTGTAGTGGATTATGAGCTAAATGGCAGTCAGCAGTTCAAATCTACCAGTCGCTCCACAGGAGAAAGATGAGGCTTTCTGGTCCCATACAGATGTACAGCCTCGGAAACCCTATATGGGGTCATTAGGTGTCGGAACCGACTCCATAGCATATCACCACCACATATATAATAGAAAACATCTGGTAACGCAGTGGTTATGAATTGGGCTGTGAACTTTAAGGTCAGCAGTTCGAAACTACCAGCTGTTTCACGGAAGAAAGATGAGGCTTTCTGCTCCCGTAAAGATTTATAGTCTCGGAAACCCTGTACAGCATAACTGTGAGTCAGAACCGACTCCACGGCACATAACCACCCCCACCTCCATTATATCTAAGTATTATTTCAAAACATAATTGATATGTAGAAAACTATCCATGAGAGTAAGATCATGGAAAAATGGCAGAAAAGGGAATTCCAAAGAATCCATCTCTCCACCAAAGCAACCATCACTGCCAAAGATTGACAGAATCAGCCTTTTCTGTAACTCTAGAATCTAATCTAAAATTTACACGAACCAGGGGACTGCTGGATGATGAAAAGTGTATCCGAGCTTCAGAAAGGGAGCATGACATCATTTTTTCCTCATCTGCCAGCCGTCACTCACTCCCCAGCATGGTATCAGCTCCGGGGGGCTGGGGGCAGTAGGACTGTGTTCCTGGTCTCCCTTGCTTGTTGGTGTTGTTGTAAGTTGCTTCTGAGATGGTGGTGACTCAAGGTGACATTATGTATAACCAAACAAAGCATCAGCTTGTCCTGTATGATCATTAGGATCCTTGCTGGGGTTGAGCCCATTGTTACACCGCCACTGGGACAACCCATTTCAGTGAGGGTTTCCCCTCATTGGGGCTGAATTCCTGCATCACCAAACAGATTTTCCTACCTAGTAACTGGTCTTTCCTAATGATGTGCCCAAAATAAGCAAAAGGGAGTCTCACCATCCTTGCTTCTAAGGGACAGTCTGGCTATACTCCCTCCAAGATTGATCACTTTGTTCTTCTGCCAGTACATAGTCTATTCCGTATTCTTTGCCCACACCACAATTCAAATGTGTCCATTCTTCCCCTGCCTTCACTTGTCCCTGTCCACCTTTCACTTGCATATGAGATGACTGGAAACTTTCTGGCCTGTGTCATGCCCACACTAGTCATCAAAGTGACATCCTTTGCTTTAGAAAACATTAGAGACATTTCACAGGAGATTTGCCCAATGCAATATGTTAGTTAATTTCTTATGCTATTTCTCTGGGTGTTGCATGTAGGATGAAAATCATGACACCTTTAATGTCTTCACCATGAATCGTGATTTATCTATCCACTTGTGAGAATTTTCATTTTCTTTATGTTGAGGTGAAATCCATAGAGAAAACTGCAGTCTTACAGCTTCATCAATGAGTCTTTCAAGGTTGTATCGTCAGAATATTACATGTTATTCATTGCTGTTGTTGTTGTTGTTGTTAAGTGCCGTTGAATCAATTCCAACTCATAGCACACGTGTATAGGGCTTCCAGGGAGTGGTTGTTGGGTTTGAATTGCCTACAGGCAGTTAGCAGCCCAGTGCTTATCCTACAATTGGTGTTATTGTTAGATGCTGGCAGTTCTGGTCCAAGTCATAGCGACCCTCTGCACAACAGAACAAAGCACTGCTCCATCCTGTGTTAACCTCACAGTCATCGTTACATGCCGGGGACTTGCCTCGACATAGTTGTGTTGTTCACAAGTGTTTGGTTCACGAGGAGGGGAGATCCAGCGGCGACAGAGAAAGCAAAAGAGACACAGAGACGCAAAGAGAGAGACAAAGAGACACTCCGAAACCAGAGTGAATGCTGGACTGGCATCAGGCAGATCCTGCTTTGCAAACATCTCAGTCACAAAGGCTGTAATATCCTGCATAGTAAACATCTTAGCTAAACAGGCAGTATGGTTGCAAGGCTGGACTGTGCCCCCTGCATGCTGTAACGCACGCCTTGCCAGTCATAATGCACCTGGATTCGTTCTGCACCTTCCTTTTATTTAGGGGAGGTACTTTACACAAAGTTAGGAGGGGCTAAGACAAGGTACAGCTGTCGATCTTACTTTTCCAGACATTTAGGCAACTTTACATCATACTTTTCAGGTTTGAATCTCACTACTACGACTTGGTTTCTCAAGCTTAATTAACATACCTTTTAGCACCTAGCCTCAAATGGAGGGAGAAAGGGAGGATTGGGAGGATTCCCATTGTGTCGGCTGCCCAGCCCAGGTTCTTCAGGAAAAGAGGCGCCTGGGTGAATAGGCAGCACCTGGAAACACTTTAGGGAGGGCATTCCTATTGTCCTTGGAACAGACCAGGGAGCCACCCAATTTACCTTGAATGAATTCTCTGAGGGAAGAACTTTGCCTGTTTGGAATTTTACAGTCTTGACTTTTAGGAAAATATTACATTTATCTGTGTATATCAAGGGCTTCATGTCTGCATCTAATAAAAATAATTTGTTATTAACTATTAAAAATAATTTGTTATTAACTCCCAGGTGGCTAGATCTGTTACATTCGGGCCTATAGGGCCTCGAACCTCTGACCAGGCCTTCACGGTCTGCAACAGTTACACTTGAGCCCATTGCTGTTGTCATGGTGCCCTCTTCTTCACCGATCCTCCACTTTACCAAACATGTCTTCTCCAGGGATTGGCCTCCCCTGATAATATGTCTGAAGTATGAGAGATGAAGTCTAGCCATTCTGGCTAATAAGGAGCTTTCTGGTGGTCTTTCTGCCAACACACATATTCTTGTTCTTCTGGCAGTCCATGGTGCCTTTAATGTTCTTCTCCAATACCACATCTTAAATGCATCAATTCCTCTCGTCTTCCTTATTCATTGGTGAACTTTCACATGCATATGAGACCATTGAAAACACTATGACTTGGATCAGGCGCACCTTGTCCTCAAACTAATATCTATGCTCTTGAACACTTACAGAGAGGTCTTGTGCAAGAGATTTGCTTAATGCAACACATTGTTTGAATTCCTGACTGCCGCTTCCATGAGTGTTGATGGTTGATCTCCAATTATATGGATATTGCTTATTAGCCCAGTGGTGAGGATTTTGCACTGAGAAGTAATCCATACCAAAGTCTGTGCTCTTTGATCTTCATCAGTGGTATTTTAAGTCCTCTTCCACTTTCAGCAAGCAGAGCTGTATCATCTGCATACTTCAGGTTGTTAATGAGTCTCCCTCCAATCCTGATGTCATGTTTTTCTCATATAACCCAGCCTCTCAGATGGTTTGCTCAGCATACAGATTGAGTAAGTATGGTGAAAGAATACAACCCTGTTGCACGCACCCTCCCCAATTTTAAACCATTCAGTGTTCCCATGTTCTGTTCGAACAACTGCCTCTTGGTCCATGTATAGATTCCTAATGGGTATAGTTATGTGCTTCGGAATACTTATTCTGCATGATGTTGTCCATAGTGTGTCATGATTCACACTATCGAAAGCCTTTGCATAGTCAATAAAGCACAAGTAAACATCCTTCTGGGATTCTCTGCTTTCAGCCAAGATCCATCAGATGTCCAACAGAATGGGGAAATCATCCAACAATATCATTGATAGCCCGTGGGTGGAAAGTTTTACTAAATATAATACAAAAATGGCTGCAATCACACAGTGACAGAGAACTTCCAGAGGTTCAAGCTGGATTCAGAAGCGGACGATATGGAACAAGGCATATCATTGCTGACATAAGATGTATCTTAGCTGAAAGCAGAGAATACCAGAAAGATGTTTATCTGTGCTTTATTGACTACACAAAGGCTTTTGATTATGTGGATCATGACAACTCTGAAAAACATTGCAGAGAATGAGTATTTTGAAACACTTAATTGTGTTCATGAGGAACTTATACATCTAACAAGAGGAAGTTGTTGGAACAGAACAAGGGTATGTGGAATGGTTTAAAATTAGGCAGTGTTCACCAGGGTTGTATTCTTTCACCATGCTTAT